ATAGTAAGTCTTATACCATATCTCAGGCGGGAATGTACATTTGCAAAATATACGCAACAAGCTGCATGAAGGCTAACATAATTTGATAGAATTCTGAATGCGTAACAGAATGAACTTAATTTAGGGTTTAGTTTTGTAATATGTACATTTCATTTGAGGTTCGATTGAATTGAGAGCCCTAGAAATTTTGTTACCTGAACATCAGTTAATTGCATATTTTTCATTTTCAATGGATCATGCGTTTGCTGATATCCGTTCTTTCCATCGATGAAATTCACACCAAACATAAAGCTCTCAATATTAATTACGACATAACCTACAAGGAACTCATTAATGCAAGTTGAGACAACAATAATTTGTAAAACAAACGCTTCGTGAAATTTCCCAGATTATCTTTGTTTCAGGTGGAAACGAAAGAGAACAGGGAGTAAACGAATCTGAATTGAATTGATGCCTTATTTTACGTGGCGAGACTCCGGCCATCAGGCCCGCTCTTCCGTCTGCACATTCCGCTACGCTCCTTTCATTCACTAGCGGAGAAGGGAGGTATTTCTTGGGCGACGAAACAGGCGATTTCAGAATGGCGACCGAAACGTCGGCACCTTTGCCATGGACGCGGCGTCACCTGGACAACCAATTAAATAGTGACTCCGGCCGCGGAAGCCTACGCTCTCACTTGGGTACAATAGTCCGGTAAGCTGACTGTAAACACCATCCCGCCGCCTCAAAACTCTGAGCGGAGGCAAAAAAAACCACAAAAGCACGAGCCAGTCTCCGCCGCCGCCGCCCCCGCCGCACGAAAGGGCCGTAAACGTATCGGACAAATTGTGGGAATCAAAATAAGCAGGCGGCTGCTGGCCAGACGAAGAAACAAACACTTCCTGGAAGAGAGTGGCCCGCCAGACTTGCCACCCGCAGGCTCGAGTTGTGCCCCTCGACAAAACTGACAGTTCTCAATATCTTTTGAAAATGCAGTGTCTTTGCGTGCTTGACAGATGCCCTCAGTGCTTGTAACAGTCGAATACAAATGCCATTCGGTTATCCGGATGACACCATGGGGGGTGAGGGGATGAATTTGGACTTCAGAATAAATTGCAATATAACAGAAGGGAAAATTTTATGTATTTAAGAATTCATAGTGAATATATTTAACGAAGTTTTACAATCATTTTCTGCAAAGTTGTGTTAAAATATTTTAATTTTTTGAGATATAAAATACTTCTAATACGTCAAATTATTTCCACATTATGTAACTTCCGAAATTTCAGTGAATTAAACGAAAATGACACCTGCGCCATTGTTTAGAGCATCCATTACTCTATCCGTCGGGGAAAAAAATGTAGCCGGGCCGTTTTTGAGAATTTGTTTTTATATATTACTGTAACTTCAAGCAGAAATTACGCAAAAACTACTCGATTTTTAACAATTATACATAACTTTTTAGGAATCTAATTTTTTAAATATATTTTATTTAAGAAAAACGTGAGTCATCATTATTGTACTTTGGCAATGTTAATTTTTGTTTGCAAATTTTGATTATATAGATGTGATATAGATATCTCTTTGAAAATAAGACCCATATTATTTACAGTTTTTGACGACAGAGGAAAAATTGAAAGAAAATATTTTGAACCATGCTTTAGAAAATAATTATTTAAAAACTAACAATTTTACGCAGAATTACGTAAAAGATAAAGTTTTTGAAAAAGTGTACTTGTCTTTATCCAAGATGTCTTTTGCAATATATTTCTACAAGGAAAAAAGCTCGATGATGAACATTATATTAATAGGTAGACAGAGAAAATGTTTTTAATTTTTACATTTTTCAAAACGTAAAAAAAATTCAACGAATATGAAATTTGGACCAGTCTTTCAAAGTTCTTTAGGTTATTTGAGAAAAAAATTATTAAAAAATTTGGAAGATTTTTTGAGAACATTTTGAAAATATTGTTAAGGCTTCAAATAACGTACACCTAAAAATTAAAATATGTTTCAAACTCTCAGAGCCCTCGAGTTCGTCAAGTTCTATGGCGGAATATCGATTTTGGAGAAAATTCCGTAAACGGTTTTGGCGTTAGCGTTGACACAGACGTTCACCGTCAACCGATATTTTTGGTATGAAAAACCCTCAAAATATGGATTCTGACTATACAACTTGTTAGAGGTAGTAATTTATAACATATAGAAATAAGATTTATCCACTTTTCCGTTACCTGGGCCGGACAATAAGAGTTTTTCTGTCGAAAAATCACTAATTTCCGCAGCAGTTTTACAATACGTTCTCTTTACTCTGTAAATGTAATAAGGCAAGAAAATTAAAAGATTTCTTATCAGGGGCAGTCTGGCTCTGAGAGTACGCCGGAGTTTTCTTGAAACACATACGCTTAGCGGTGGCTTCTGGTTTCGTAAATATCTGATGTGTTGAAAGATGAAACGGTTACCATGATTAGGCGGTTAGGCGGAAGAGCAGGCCCTATGGCCTGAGCCTCGCCATTAATAAAGACATTTTTATTATTATTATTATTATTATTATTATTATTATTATTATTATTATTATTATTATTATTATTATTATTATGATTAGGAATGGTTCTAATAATAACTATGAAACAGTATCGGTGATGTATTGTGATGGAGAACCGCACTGTATTGGTTACGTGCGTTTTTACCGCAATTATTCAAAAAGTTGTTTTCCCTTACCCACGTTGGATTCGACCGCACCCAACCTAGGCGTCGCCTACCTCCGCGTTGTAGTGTTAAACATCTATTTTTCATTATTTTAATGTATGTGCAATTCACTTTCTATCAATTCTTCAACAAACATCAGTGCTTCTTGACCTTCTGAGAAAAATAATCCCAAGCGTTCTTTTAGCAGGGATTTAATGCAACCGTTTTCATGATCTATCTCTGTTCGGATTACTTTGTACACTATCTTGCATTCGCTGCTGTATCAGTGTGGATCTCCGGAGCCCCCTTGGGATGTTTGGGCGAAGAGAGCGTCCGTGTGTGTCGGCGCCGAACGCCCTATCACGCGGGCAATCGCGAACGTGTGCACGTGCCAGGGGACGGGCGGCGCGCGGCGAATAAAACGCTGACGGTCGCTGGCGCTCGGCAGGTGCACAGCCAGCTCCTCACGCCGCCACCATGCGACTCTGCAGCGCACAGGTAAGCGGAAGGCGGGGCGGGCAGCGACGGATAACCGAGTCACTGGGTGAATGAGTATTGGTTCAGGACGCATCATCAGTTATGGTAACAAGCCTCGTAAGTGTGCTGCATGATTTACATAAGGACGATTTATTTACTTGTGATTGAGGGAACGTCAACTGATAATCTCATCAGTCCCGTAAGTGTGGTGCATGTCTTCGCTCGGGGAATGGCGGTGATCTTGCCCCGCTGGATGGAGAGATTCAGCGTAAAATTTACCGTTGGCAAGAATGGTTTTCCCTAACAAGGTATCTCCCACCAGCAGGCACCGCCCCAGCCGGGACAAGCTCTAAGCTCCCGACCGGTCTCCTGGCATTTGTGGTAGTGTAGTGCATGTAAGTGGATTTACTCCACGTGGTGGTTGTGTTTCTTCCCCTCTGGAACGTGATATCTGGTGCCGACTTACACGCCTGCTAGTGAGTGTTCTGATGTGTTGCGTGTAAGTATAAAGGGAGAGAAGGGAGAGTGGATTAGGAAGAAAAGATGGCGCGGGGTCCGTGGCTCATTTGTTAGTGAACAGCTCCCGCGACCGCTTGGTCTTGGTGGGAGAAATCACGGAAAAATACTGACGAGCGGCCGCTAGATTTCTCCTCCAGGCGGTGGTTGAATTGGGCCCATTTATGTAGCTAATGACGACTATCAGCAATCGTTGGGACTCGAATTCCAGATCCTATTCAGTCAACAATGCTGGAAGCTGCACTATCTCTTAACTGTTGAGTTGTAACAGTTGATGTTAACTGTTGAGTCGTTACCATTATGCTTCAACCCTCTAGGCTATACATGAATCTTGGCTTGTCGCACGCCGGACCAGATCAGGGCGAGTGGTACACGATTTGCGAATGTATGGAGTGCGAAAATAATCATTGCTACCACGTCGTGAGAAATAGTCTTTGTTCGAAGATGTCGATAGGAAGTGAAACGCAATTCCATGCAAGAAGGTCGCGCCTTTATGATGCTGGCTTAACTTGACGAACGATAAAAATATTATTGGAATATTTTGATTCACGAAGGGAAATAATGACGACAATCAAGATGGAACATGATTGAATTACTGTCAACTAAGCTATTACCTTCAGTAAAATCATAAAGCTTCATAATCATAAAGAAATATTGTCATTACTTTCTGTCTCCCCTGATTCTTTATGACATCCAAGTCGTAAAAAAATGGTGAAATAAAATGTAAGCATCACATGAATATGATAGAAAATTGCAGGCTTTATTCCCATTTTGTGACAATAATCCCAAAAGACATTATTTTCCTGCTTGTAAACTTATAAAGAGAGACATAATATTTTAAAGTGTACAGGGGAGAAAGATTTGGGTGTTGCAAGTCAATAAATTGTACTAATTCTGTCTAAACGAAAAATTGTGTGAACAAAATGTTGGAGTTCTTGCAGTAAGTTCTCAATGACTCCATTCAAATATTTTAAATTATAAACGTTTTACAGTTCACATAGAATAATTTAGGGCCATTTTCATAAAAACAAATATTATTAGGAAATAGAAAAGAGAATATTTTATTAAAATTGTGTAAAAATGTGGGTTGGATAGCATTTATAAGAAAGTCATGTCAACTCAACAAAATGCTCAATTAGTAATGCACGTAGTCGAATCGTAATTTCGACTGCACTTTGAATTCATTGATTTGGATTACTGACAAAAATTTATATTTTTTTGTTAAGGTTTTCTTTTACAGAGGCTCTACAATATGTAGGAAATATTTCCAATATAACTGATCATTCAATTAATGTGGTTACGTGTTTCAGTTTGGGCACGCGGTAGCAGCATTGCTACTAATGCTTGTCACAGCAGCAAACGCCGAGGAAGATGTGGAGTATTCTCCTATCTTCCCTAGACCATTTCATCCAGGAATCATCCCTTGTCTTCCGAGAAAAGATTGCAGTACAGTACTTTGCAAAAAGATTTGCCCTGAAGACTGCCCGAGCGGTCGTACGATTCGCTGCGGATGTTGTGATGTCTGCCTGGTGGAACTTGGTACGTTCTTTTCCACAAATTTGGTCGATGTTATTGCTGTGAATCTTTGTATGATTAGTGACTCCGTGCGAATCAACGACCAAAATAATTAGTCACGTAAGTGTAGAACATATTTTTTCGTCGGGTGGTGGCGGTGAACTTCTCCCGCTGGATGATGAGATCCGTCGCCGACCTACTGTCGGCTAGCGTAGTTTTCACCAAACAGGTATCTGCCACCAGCAGGGCTCCGCCCCAGCCGAGACAAGCTCTAAGCCCCCGATCGGTCTCCCGGCATGTGTGGTAGTGCAGTGGCTGTTAGTGTAAATGTGGGGAAGTAAGAGGGAGGACAGTGCAATATAGAGGAAGGAAAGATCGAGCACGGTCCATGACCCGTTTGTTAGGTACTTCTCCGGCATTCGGCTGCATTCATCGGAGAAACCACGGGAAACTATTGATCAAAGTAGCTTGTTGATACACTTTTCCTCCAGTCAGTGACTGACATCGATCTAAAAATGTAGCTTATAGTGTTGAAAATCCTTCGAAACTCGAACCATAAGGAGCTCGAACCCAAGGACTTCCCGGTCAGAGGCACTGCTGTGACAAAAGCTTATGTCATGAACCACCTTTCCCGGTGTTAATATTCTTGTTGTTTCTGACCCCGGCTGTGATAGCTTTGTGGTAACACTACACATCACTAACGGATGGGATACGAGTCCAAACAAAGGTGAATTTTCGACACTAGCTGCTTAGCTAGATTATTACCGACATGTTTTGAGGTAATGTTTTACTTCGTCCCACACTCCTGCTGTTAATTTCGCCAGTGGAGACTACACAGTCTCGTTCCATTTTATCAATGTTTTACTTAGTGTCTGGTTAAGTGAAAAGGGAATGAGAGTTGTTGAGCAATTCGCCGCCACCTTTCGAGGTACATTCACATGTTAGAACCGCGACTTGGAACGCCAAGAATGTTAATTACGAAAATGAAATATATTTTATGCTTACAGTACAGTCTGCCACTCTAGTGATCCTGCGTACTTAGTTTAATAATGTGTTTCTGAGCACTGAATTAAAAAAGTCCAAATTAATAATTTTGTCCCCGAGATTAGGTGCCAGAAACATACATTTCTATTCCTAGTAGTAAATAATATTGCTTCAATTAATACTTTTGTTGGCTATTTTAGGTATCAGAAACATGTTTCGTGACTGAATTAAAAAAAGGCTAATCTAATCAATGCGTAATGGTTTTAGGTGACCAAAAAGCCGTGTTTTGAAGGCTAACTATGTGTTGTGCGACCAATCTGTTGCTGAAACGCATCCGTAATCTGATGACTTGTTCTTCCGCAGAGTGCGGCGAGCAGTGCCGATTCTTCGTCCCGAACAACGCGCGATGTGGACCTGGCCTGAGGTGCGGGCCCTACGGGCAATGCGAGTACAAGCCTGGCTTCCACCCCGGCGTCCCCCGTTTCCTCCACCGTTCCCCACTGTCCCCCGCGCCCCCGCCCCCGCATTGCTTAGCCCCCTCCCGCCGCCCCCTCCTCGTTTGCCATCGCTTGCTAATGAGACACGGAAATAATGTCTTAAGGCCCATTCACAATGCAAACGTAAACATAAATATAACGCATACACGTAATCATTAACATAAGTGATAGACTGAGGAATTCACAACGTCTAACATTAACGTACACGAAATTAGAGTTTCTATTGGCTGTGAGACATTCAATTATACTATTGGTTGGATGCGGGAATGGATCTCAAGGTATCGTCTTTGTCCATTCCCCCTATTGGCGTTAGTTCGTCTATCGACTTCGGTCCTCTTTCGATTCTCGATTTTGAGTTACCGTACTGTGATTGGTTCATTTCTTATTTCTTACTTAAGCATAAGCACAGAAACTTGAAGCTTTTAAGTTAACGTCTTTCGTATTATGCGTATGCGAACACATTGTGAATGAGTCCGCTTATGAACGTAGTCAAAACGTTTATATTAATGCCATGCTTATGTTCATGTTTGCATTGTGAATGGCCCTTTAACCAAGGACATACACGAGCATACCCAGCTTGCAGGTCCGCACGAATCGCGATAGTTGTAAAGCTGACACCACTGCTACCTGTGCCACCACGAGAACAATGAGACGGCGACAGATTTACAACTGTTAGACTAGACAAGCTCCGCTTGCTCGCGGTACTCCTAATCATGAAGACTACCAAGAGGAGAGAACAGCAGACATTTTTGAGAGGCATTTCGAGAAGTCACACGTTCATTGTGTGATACTGTAGATTGGTCATTTAGAAAACAAATACCATAAGTGCACGGAGGTTGCCAAAATGAATTAATTAAATTTAGTTAACAATATCAAAGAATGTAGCTGTTAACTTTCCTTCGCTGCAGTAGCAAATGTCGGCTGGAAAAAGATGGCGCTTGCAAGGTGAATGAAATTCTTGAGAGATCACTGGCAATATTGGCCAAATGTACTTTGTATTCGTATAATTGAGCTGGGTCATTTACGTCCCGTAAAACATTTAGAAGACAGCTAAAATCCTGGATGGAGAGTCGTGCCTCTCACAGAGGGAGAGAACTTGTCCGTTACATAATTACTCATCTTGTGCCTCTTTCACTCGTAGTTGTTTGTTCGAAATGCTGTTGACGACGATTAGCAGGGAGAGCACGTTATACTGGTGCTCTTGGAGGCCCAATACTTTGTTCACATTGATGAATTTGCGACAAGGAGGTTATTTATTTTCCTGTACTTGACTTCTACAGAGTTCCTGAATAAAAAGGACTATAATGTGATTAACATTAAAGACGGCTACATGCGCGTTCTGATCGATCTCCCCCCCCCCCCAGAATCGACCGGCACACGTGTTTTAACCAGACTTTAAATGAAATATCTCGAATATGAGACATTCCTATCTAAGAGTTCTCTCCTGTTTCTAGTTTTTTTGAATTAATTTAAATCACCCATCGAGTTTGAAATTTTTTCCATTTTGTGCTCGCATAGAACTCATATATTTCCTTGTGGCTTCGCTCTAGAACCTAAACATTCCCCAAATGTGTATATTTCGTGAACCACTACACAATTTAAGGGAACTGCCAATTGACAAAAGTAAATTTTGTGTAAAAAAAGGTTGAGAAGTCACAATGAGCGCTCTCGGAAGAAAGTGAATCTTAAAACAAAAAATAATCCCCTTCTCACATTCCCTTTCCCATATCCCCATTCCCCCATAACAATGTATAAAACTTTTATTACAAAAATGCAACTCACAACTCATCGGTGCACAAAAGAAGTGTCCCATCACAAATGAATTATCTCATTTTGTATGAGAGTGTTTTAATCTGAGCCCAAGCAAAGTCGTTTACTTCCTGGTCAATGACAAAGTGATTTAGTGTAGAATATATGGTCTTCTTCATAAACTATTTTTATAAAATAGATACTAGTAAAAATATACTACCTGCCAAGGATATTTTTTGCATGAATAAAAAAAGGCCAGTTTTGCGATGTGTCACTTTTCTTGAGCACTGAAAAACTATGAAAATGAAAAGTTGTGAAAATGAATTAAGTTATTTAATTATTTATTAAGAATAATTTCTTATTGTCAAAGAGAAATAATAAAGAATTTTAAGAATATTTTTCAAATTATTTCCATCGTTGTAAAAATATTCTAGTGTATAAGAGCCTTTTCCCTCTTCCAGTGTCCATTTTCATCTGTTTAAATACTTTTCGTTGCTATAAGGTGTGGTAGAAATTTAAAATGACTCTCTGAAATGCCACTCTGGTAGGCTTTAATTCCATTTTGTTTGGGAGATAGAGAGATGCGTGCTGGAAGGTATTTGTATAACACAGATCTAGCATAAGATTGCTAAAACATCTTCTGTTAGATGTACACGTAGGCTTCCGCGGCTCGATTTCATGATTTCTTAGCTGTCCGGGTGACGCCGCGTCGTTGGCTGAGTTGGCCTCTCAGCCAACGACGCGGCGTCACCCGGACAGCTAAGAAGTCATCTTCTGTTAGAGTTTTATTTTCATCTCTATATCACAGTATATATCACATCTCTATATCACGTCATTATTTCTCGTCATTCAAATTGTTTTCACACAAAGCTGAAATCTCAAACAATTGTTTAGGAAGACTTAACTAGGTTTTGTGGTGTATTGATAATGAATTTTTAACAGACACATTTTGCGTAAAAATTATAGCACTCATCTTGAATTTCGTGTATTGACAATTAAAAATAATCAGTTTGGCTAAACACTGCCAACGGATGTGATCTTAAATAATGTAGTATTTGTTCCGAAAATTCGTGAAAATCTAAACTATTAAGAACGTCCGAAACTTCAATCAATGGAATAAATTCTACTCGTAATGGGCAAATCATTTCACAATTAGAAACTGCTTGCTGTTAGTGTTTCAAGACTTCCATCAATATGCGTTTTATTGTAAATTCATCTTATGTTCACTAGCTTTCTTTTCTTAAATCTCGGTCGTGGATTTCTATATAATGCCGTTAGCCATGGAAACAGTTCCTCATATTCTGCCTCCTATTCTACCTCAACTTTCCTATAATCTGTTAAAAAAATCTGTCCATAAATCATGTTTGTAATATGGTTAAATTTAGAAACTCTACAAACATTTATTTCCAAGAAACAGGACAATAATGATATTTTCTTAAACATCCACCATTAAATATCGCAGCATATCTTTTATATTTTTTCCAATTTACACACGATTTAATGTACAAAAAGTATAGATTAAATTGATGAACATATTAATTTTTTAGATCAGCAGGTGGGAAATACATTATTGAAAGCTAATAGTAGGCCGCCTGTTCTATGTAGCATTCTTATTTTATAATAGAAACACACTTGCAGTCGATTCTGTTTGTAAATTAACGCTATCTTGATAATGTTTCACCACATGTATCAGATAACGCAAATAAAAAGGTTACATTTGGCCAAAGATTTTGCGTATCATATTTCATTCCAACATAGTCGACACATTCTTGTTAAGAGACAAGAACGAGCAGCTAGAAAAGCGGTTGAATTTTTTAGAAAGTTTATTTTAAAATATTATATTTTCTTTGAGGTTTCAATATTATTAATGATGGCAATAGTAGGTAAAGGCGGATTTAGAAATACATAAGTAACATACAAATTATTCTCTTGTTTCTTTTGATATGAGTTTATTTATGAAGTAAAGGTTAATGATTTATATTTGTTGTTACTGAAACGACTACAGAAACCTCTTGCAGATACTGTAAATATTGTCGTTATGTAAATAATTTCGTAATAATAGTTTAGTGTGTTGGAGTGTTTGTATTCTCTGCAGTGTAGATTAATTATTTTGTGTCCTACACTGAAAAGTCTTTCACCAAAATGCCGCCCTTTAAATGATCTCTTCACGATGTATTGTTTTGTGTACAGCAATATTAAATAACAAAAATGTCACAGTTTTTTTTAATAATATCAATAGAATTCAGTTTCAGACGGTTCCGATTCCAGTTTTGCGGTCTAACAATGCAGTTAAGAGGTGTTTCATTATATATTTTTCAACGTTGAATACAAATTTGTTTAGCAAGAAAAACCTTCATTCGCTAAAAATAATTTATTAATGAGATGAAATAAGCAGTTTTCAAAAATTTCAATGCATTGTAATTTCTCCAATATCCTGTTCAAAATATGTAACTAGTCTGTATCTTTTGAAGAAATTACGATCCACATCACTATAGATCAGGGTTTTTCTCAGATTCAGATCAGGATTCATCTCAGACAGGATTCATACGATGAATTTCTTATTTAAGGCTACTTCTTAAGGTGTAACCAATGGCGAATATTATTCCTTGGTAACTTAATCAGAGAAACGATCATATTACATAAAAGGCTTTTCTAAAAGACACAACTTTCCACAGAAATTATTGCAAAGTGACTTGTGATCACAAGATCATTAAAAATTACAAATTTACATATTTACAACACCTAACAGAAATCACTTGCCTTAGCTCAACATTAATTTGTCCTTGATTTGAGTATATGTCTTGTGAATTTTTGTATCTCTAGTTGTGGACATGAACATGACTTAGAACCAAACTTATGAAGTCGTATGTATACAGACGTGTCAATAATATGAATTGAAGCATTGTTCATTACAAAGGTCTCCTCCGTAACTTGAAGTTTTGAAACTTGATCTCCTTTAAAGAGGCACTTTCCTATTGTAATAAATTGTGGCTGATACAGGATCAGGTAGGAACATGATATAATTATGCGTGGCTGTGATACTCAGTAATGAATATAATTATCGCCTAATATATGCTAGATATTATCGTGAGTTGATATATTATTGTACACACAATGGACGGTTTGGATTGAATACTGTGTGCCGTTTCATATTTAGTGGTAATTAAACACCATCTTCCATAAAATTGATATAAACCTGTTAATTTTTGCATTAATCGTCGTATAATGTTAATTTATATTTTTAACATTATACTGCCTTTTGATTGAATTCCATCACTTCAGGATTATTAGAGGCGCGAGAAATAAAATACTTCGGGTATTGAATTTCCTGGAGGAGTAAAATTTGTTTGAAAGCGGAGATGCCCGAAGAACTTCCGAAGAGCCCCGAAGAGTGACGCATAAACGTGACGTCTTTCATTGTAGATAGTCGTGTGCGTACGTGCGCATCAGTCACTTCCATGAAGAATGCATAAATTTGAAACTCGCAGGGCAGCACTCAGTTGTCCACACAGTGTTGCAGAATGAGCAGCAAGAGCTTTAAAGTAAGTACTCATCTAACACTTTTTTTGTGTCAAAAGGCCTCATGGAGAATAAGGTGGGCTATTGATATCGAGTTTTCACATTACACACAATGTAACTGTCGCTTAAACATTCACATCAGGTGACAATGTAAATAGCGTTCTACCGAAAACTTCAAATAATAGATTTGAAATACATAATTTATATTTTACCAGAAAACATTAAACACGTTACCATTACACGTACATCAAATGCCAGTTAAAATATTATCTGCTGCACAGCATTTTTTTAAATCAGAGAGTGTCTTGAGTATTATAAAATTAAGGAATATATTTTATAATCAAGATATTTATTCATTAGGACATATTAGTTCTTTGAAATAGTAAGAACACTGAAACAAAGAAGCAACTCTTTTCTTAGAAGCTTCTACGTTTTTTAAAAACAATTTTGTGTTTCGAATGCGAAGCTCTCAGTTTCGGGCTTAGTTCATTTGTTTATTGTTGAGTTAATTGAACTTTTTTAGCCGATTCTTGAGATTAAATTGGATACTTTTCCTAAGTAAATGTGTTGTTCAATACAAAAGTGCTGTATCATCTAAGTAAAACGCAATAACATTTCTTGTGATTCTTTCTTTTCATACCACGTTACTTTCAAATGTTTCATTACATTAATTAATATTTTGTGATATTCATTGCCTTATTTATTGCGCCAATAAACATTCGGTATTAGCTGAGTTACATCGGAAGCAGTCATGCTATATTAGTCTAGAAGTAAACATGGGGCTTAGTATTAACTTTTGCCGAGAAAAGGACGAAATGATGCGGTCTTACATCCTAGAGTCATTTACATATCGAAAATTGTTTTTAACGAGTAATGTCATGAAAACAGTTATGATTTTTTAATTTTACATTCTTAAACTTTATATGAATATAAAATTACGGAAAAGAAAAAATTAAGGAAGCAAGCAACTCCACATTTTAAACTTCTGAGTAAGAAACGTAGAAGGCGAAAAATCGTTCTTTGATGAAAGATGGTTATAAATAATATTGAAATTAATTTTTGTACATAATTTTAATGTTCATATACGTTAACTTGCCTTAATTACATAACATGAAAATGTTCAATTATAATGAGAATTTAGTATACCGTTAAATTATTATTATATAAATTACGAAGATTGATGATTGGTAATTATGACTGAATTTACGGCTATGAGTCGTACAAGTTTTGATGTACTTTTCTTGTAGCACTCTGTGACCAACAAACCAGGCACTTGTTATGAGTTTTAAATTTATTATTATAATTAAGATATTTCATAGAACAAATAAATGCTCTGTGCTACGAATGCAGTATACAAGAAAGTAAAGAAATTAAACATGAAAGGGTCCCTCGAAGATGCCGAAGACTTGAACGGTTTGATGAGTACAAAATTAATTTTTTGCTTGTACATTTTAATTTCTTTTCTGAAAATCTTGGTCTGATTACAAAGAGCAAGAAGAACGTTTCCATGTAGATAATATGGAAACGAAAAAGATGTATCAGGAACGATGGAACGTCAAAATGGTGGGTGACTAGTACATCGAGATACACCACAGCACATACATACGAAGAAGAGGGCTCACAGTTTAACATTTACGCAAGTCTTTTTCTCAGAAAAGAAAATTTTAATGTACGAAGAATATGAATTCTCGGCTATCCGGGCTATTCGAGCCGCAAAAGCTTACGTATACGAAGAATATGTGTAATGATTTGTGAGGTAAAAATTGTAAGCAAATTGTATTTTCAAGTTTGTTTTATTCTATCATATATCTTTAATAACTTCATCAAGGAAATTTGAATAGCTGAATATATTATAGTGCATTGTGAAAAAATGCTAGGGTTTGAATTAAACTGATCTCACTTATGAAATCTGCACTCCAAGTAAATATAAATTTTGTATAAATTAAGAAAGGTTTTTATGTACCTTAAATTGGCAGGTCTATGTGATCAATGATAAATCATTAATATGATCAACAATATTTTTAACATTTTCCGATTGATTTTGTAAAATGTCTTGAATAAATTTCAGATCAAATGTTTTATCCCCCTAGATCTCGTAGAAGTTTTTGTTCTTGATAAGCGTTAATTATTAGAGAGCATTATTACCATGAGTAATGACATTTCTGAACAGAAACTTGAGCTAACAGAAAATCGTGTGGTGTCCTGCAGAATGAGTCATTTTCTAGGTGTTATTTAAGAACAATTTTTGCGTTGATAGCGTATTATAAATATGCCGTAAAAAATATTTTTCACACTTCATGTCCGTAAAACTGCTTACAAATGAAATTATTATTATTTTTAATGTAATTATTATTATTATTATTATTTTGGCTATTTTTTGTTTCCAGAAAGCGATGCTGCCGTTTTTACTTCTCTTGTTTCCCTTCGTCAACTCAGTGCACATTCACCACATGCATGGGGAAATATATTTAGGTAGGAAAGTGAAGTTAAAACAACATTCAAAGATTCATAGTTGCGTACAAAACACTAAATTATTCCAGTGGGTTTGTTGAAATATGGAAGAATATTGACGTGGGAAAATGTACCTCTTCTTAGAAAACATAAATTAGAATGGCTATTTTTCAGCATTTTTCGATCATTTAGGAAACAAAAGACAGTTTTCATCCCACAAACCGGGAGAGTTGATCAAAGATCTAATATGAACAAATTTAAAATCATCTCATTGCACAACCATGAACAATTTCAATGTTTCCAATTTTCTTAAGTTGTGACAGTCGTTCTCTACGATGACATATTAAAATTATAAAACTATAATCATTATTTACGAAACAAGGATCTTGAGACTAATTATTAAAATACTATATTGGAGAATTATTAAACGTAACCGTTAGACCGAATTTGGTAACGAATCCTTATGATTAAAATACGATATGATACGAATAAACTACCTTCTTCATACAATGATATTAATTGACATGATCTATACCATTATGGATAGCATACCTTTTATTCTATTTGTAAATATTTATATGTAAGTTTAAATTTTAACTTGCGAAATTTTACTATTCGTTGTACGAAAAATGACCATTGAAGTTGATAATAGTTAATTATGAATAATGTGTTAATAGCACCCTAATTTCTAATGACTCTTCTTACGAAACAGATCCCGGTTTCGTAAAGTTTGATGTTATATTACCAAAGGTATAAAAAAATACATATAATTGAATTTATTAAACGTTTTAGAGCTATTGAAGAGAGTTCTATCTTTGCAGGTATTGGAGCTGAATGCAGAAATCTGGAAGGAAACTACTGGCATTGCGGACCAGGTCTCTGGTGCGGACCAAACGGCGTCTGCGAAGTTGAGAAACCAACTGAACCGCATGTTGATGAGCATCTAGATCACGTGTTTACAGAAGATGTTTTCTCCGAGAAACAACCCTTTCATGAAGACTCGGAGCACTTACTATTGGATTCGGTGATCTCTCCGCAGCCTCCTTCAGTTGATGAACTGCTACATGTTAACGCGGACAAGATGAATCCAAAGGATCAGTTACCTTCTTCTTACGATGAACTGTTTCAACTTCGTACTGAGAGTACGCTAGCAAAGGAACATGACTCTGCCCACAGATGGATAAATAGTCCAACAGACTACAAGACAGCTCATCGAATTGATAACCAAGATCACGCAAGCACTAATATTATGTTAGATGCAATGGACTACCCAACGAAGAGGGAACATAAAAAAAGTAAGCCGATCGTCAGAACACAGCACCCACTCGATGATCAAGAACTTAAATCCCTTATGGCTGTTCTCCCAATCATACGTTACCTTTTTAGAGACAAATTCTTATCACCAACGAAATCATCCAAGGTGTACATTTTATCTGACGGAGGCTTTCACGAAACTACTGTTCCATCTCTAGACGAGGCTATCAACGATGTTGCGTCTGAGTCATCAACTTCCGTTCATGCTAATTCTGATTCTCTTCCTCAAGTTGAAAACTGGAACGAACACAAGAAATTTCTTTCTGACGATTCTATTCATCCTACGGATTTTGAATCTGTGATTGATAATCCTCTGTTCATGGAAGATGCTATTTCTTCTACCGAACAGGAACCCATTTTTGAACCTTCATCTACTCACGAGACTCACTTTGATCTCCATGAGATCAACCTCCCTATTGGCTCTAATTTACATTCCGATTCGGACTCAACACAATCTACCACTGAAACATCTACATCTCAGGAAATTCACAATGTTTTAGTAGATACGCAGTTATCCAGTGGAACCCAGGTGTCAGCTCTCGATCGCGATTTTTCCAGTGAACACTCATCCTCTGTTAAGTTTATTTCCACTTCTACAAAAGATCTTAAATATTCATCTACTGACGAGCATCCAGCACTTCCTGTTCGCAATAAGTCTTCAGATGGAAATTCTCTGTCTCCTGATTCAGACGAAACTTCTGCAGTTGATCTTACTCCATTTTTTTATGATGTCACTCCCACACCTTCTTTAGGCGGCCAATCTTCAAATGACCAGCTGGATTCGGCCTGCTCTTTTGAATTTATCCCTCTTCCTTTTACTGAAAATGATAAAGCAACCTACGTCGTACCTTTTGATATTGCACCATTATCATCAGATGATGGTGTCGATGATGGCGATAACGATGTTGATCATGCTCAAAACATTGATATTGTGACTGTCATGAACTCTAAAACAGTTGATAATGATCCAATATCTAACTCTCATTCTTCCATGCCATTTCAATTGAATTCGAAAACCCTCGATATTAATTCCACTGAGCATGTATTTAACTTTAACTCAACTGTCACTCCGGCTGAAAGGTCTCTCGTTTCTTCTGAAACGCAACTACCTACTCCAGCTCCAAAAACAAATCAACCTTCAACGTTTACTTCCTCTCCATTAAAAGAGGAAATGTCTACTTTATATTCGTCAAATATATGCAGTCCGTTAATAATGAAACTATTGAATCCATTGTCTTATATCAGATATTTATTTTCATAATAAATAATACGGCTTTTAGCTTAGTGGGTTGTCATTAAATAATATTCAAATGGCAAAAATATTCTAAATTTAATATCGAGTGTGAATTTTTGTTTGTGTAAAAATTACTTCAACCTCTGATTTCATTAACAATTACCTTAATGTATTCGTTTTTCTCAGTACGAAAGTGACTTAAATAAACTATACATGATATTCAGGCCTATTATTTAAACCCTTATAATTGAATACTCCCGCACTATTTATGATCAGTAGATGTTAGTACACTCAAATATACAAAAGATTATACTTAAAAATAGTTTGTTTAATGAGAAAATGCTTCAATAAAAGTACAAAAAAATGCAACATAATTTTTAGTCGTATGCTAATTTTGTCATAGAATATATATATATATATATATATATATATATGACAAAAATGGCTTTAAATATATTTATATATATATATTATATAATATATATATTTGTACTACCTGGGAAACGGTACTTTCACGACAAATAAAATCATATAAACGGGTACATTTTCGTGAATGGGTCTCCAGGGAAATTGACGCTGCATGGAAGAATATTCAAAGAAATTCATTTATGCAATTAGAGGTTTAATAACTGACACACTATATACATTAAGTTTTTACAATTCGCAATGCGCAAGCCTTTTAAATAGTTCGTGCACGAGTAACGCTACCTTTGAAGCTTCCGATGTCCACCGGCTGACTGGAGGCGAGCGTGCCGCCGTGCAACGGCGGCGCGCGCTCGGCAAACTCCGCTCCGTCCCGAAGTTGTCCGGAAGCCGATTTCGCGGTTGGTCCGTGTACTGGCCCCAGCACTCAGCGGCGTCCCGTCGGCACCCAAATTACAGCCGTTTTCCTCAATCCCCCATACGATTGTTCGCACGGTGCGGCCCGCTGCTGCATTACATCCAACGGACATGGAATGCGTGTCTATCGATCACTTAAAATTCCACTTTTAATTTTCATGAATTCGGTCCTGGTTCGACACTTGTTTCTTCTAATCATCTGATGATTCTATTTAGCACCTCTAATCTCCCACTCAATAACCATAATCAGTTCCACACTGTTGGTAATTTCACCACACATTTGTTTGGGCGCATCACAGCCCATCCGCACTGCACCCGCGGCTTCTCCGTCTATATTCTTCACCGCGCCTAGCGCCCCCTTCGCAATATTACACCCGGCGCTCGTGGCTCTCGTTCGCTACTAACAACCGTCACTCGCGTCGCGCACCTGCCCCCGTTTGACCGTTGGTGGCACGGCGCGCGGCGTCACTACGCTGATCGAACAGCGTTCTCTTCTATAAATTAATATCAGTTTTGCTAATTGTTATGTAGAAACGTTCTTCGTTTCAATATATATATATATAAATATATATATATAATATATATAATAAATATATATATTAAGCCAGTTCTGTTTCTCGTATTGCCCTATTTCTACTGCTGACGTCATTGTTCCTCAATCAACTTAGGACGTCGCAAAGATGCGTACTAGAATAATAAAAATAACTATGGGACTTAAACTTTCAATATACATATATCTACACGGATGAAATTTACTACACAGGGGAATTGAAATTGATAACATTTAAGAAAAAATGATTCAATGTGTTAAAGTAAAACAAATTTTAAATTTTCTAATTCTAAAAATTAACAATTCTAAAAATAATGTATTATCGCAGATAGGTTCTATCTTCGATACAGTGAAAAAAACACTACAAGCAAAAGTGAAAGAAACATTGTGATTATCAATTTTTAGCTTCAAAGTCATTTATTAGATTGCTAATAAATTTATCACATATTGCTTTCCTGCTATGAATATTGATTTTGAGAACGTAAACGAAGGAATTTTGTTGGATATTATTGGTCAATGGTTTTATTTTTTGTGTTCACCAAGCAATACTCTATATTCTTCCACTGTGATGGGAGCGTATGAAAGTAAACGAGTGGTGTTAAAACCGCGCATACATTCTCGTATTATTTGGGAACGGTTACGTAATATAATATTGCAATTTCTACCATCACTTCAGACATCTCTTGAAAAGGTCCAAACAAATTCATACAAAGTGTCTGCACTGCATTTCTGCTAGTATTTCGATTTTCAGGGCAGTAGCACATTTTTATTTGTACAAAAGAAACAAACAGGAATCAATCTTAACTGTCATAATATTTGCAGTAAATTGTATAGATAAGCAAGGCTAATTTCCAGTACAAATTTAACATTCAAAACAGAGAGCTATCCAATTTATTGCATGAATATGAATGCTTATGTAGTACCCAAATAGTGTCATTACACTCACTAATAATTCTTCATTCAAACACCAACCATATGGCAGCAAACTAAGTCGCAACAGGGACCTCTAGTAATTGAACTCGTCCTACATTTCGTATTTCATGCATGTGGGGCTTGAAACTATCATTGATGCAGCTTCTCATATCTTAAAATTTGAAATAAAAATGAAAGATTGTTTATTTTTAATTAAGTTATTTTACTAACGAGGAAATGAGACTCCCAATCTCCATAATATTTTTTGTCTTACGTTTTGTGTTTGAGAAGAGGAAATTTTAATGAACGTGTTTTTTTGGTGGCTCCTAAAAGATGTTCTATTGTTTAAATTGGGGGGTGGGGTGGGGACTGACAAAACTGCTTGTATCAGCAGCACGCAGGCGCTATCGTCGGCGTCGTCTCTCTCATCCCCACGTCGCGACATAGTTCGCTCAGACAATACAGATAGTGGTAGCGCGTTGCGCGGTCAATCGCAGAAACACAATCACACGGCACGGCTTGCACGTGACTCCTCCTTGTTTACGGATAGACCTCATTGTCATGCAGCAGGTTCAGATACAATACGAAGATTGGAGGGTCCTCTAAAGGGGGGGGGGGATTGTTCGCTTTCCTACCAATGGATCACGTACGCTGTCATCCACATGAGCAAAGTACCAACCAAATATGTGTCAGTTTAAATTCGGTCAAGTGATTAAGTGAGTTATTATTAATTGTTTCCGGGCTCGTCAACTTCTTAAGCAATTAGTCCCATAAGTTTAGTGCTTGTTTAATCCATCCAGGAATATGAGGGTGATCTTCCCCCGTTGAAAAATGAGATCCGGCCCTCGCTTAGAGGTGGATTTGCGTGTTTTCCCTCTACAGGTATCATCACCAGTGAGGCAAATCCCCCCTGTACAATGTATAACCTTCCGACTGGTCCCAAGATGAGTCGCAGTGTGAGTTTGTAGATGTAAGCGAAAAGCAGGGGAAAAGAATGAGGAAGCGCGAGGTCCGTGAAAGTTTGTTGGGGCACAGCTCCTCTAGCATTTGCCTGGTTTTAAGCGGCGAGGTCACCGAAAACCACTGATCAGAGTGCTCGGACATTAAAATTCTTCTTCACGCTCATCAAATTCGACCCAACTATAACCGCCAGAATCGAAAATCTGCCACCGTCTAACCCTCACCAATGCTATTGTGCCACTTAAGCTAGTCTATTTGCTTATTAAAACTGTTTAAGTGTATATTTTTCATTCACACACTTTTTACTTAATATAAATAAAATTAATTTAAATAAAGAAAACAAATGATTAAAAATACAATAAATACAAACTATTATTTTACAAAAACTATTTCACATTCACTAAATATTTTCTCAAGGCGTCAATAACATAAATTTAAGGAGCAACTAAAAATATTCCGATGGAATAAAATACTAAATTTCAGAACACACAACCAGATGTAATTGCCCGTTGTGCATTTCTTTCAAATCTGTAAAGTGTAAACTTTATTATTTGAAGCAAGTACCATTAGAATGATATTAAAATCAATAAAATCAGCGAAAAGCACTGTAAAATGACGTAAAAATGTAAAAGATGACTTTTTATCGATGGAAAATTCAAAAAAAGGACATATAAAAATGGGTCATTTCGTTTCGTCAAAACACAAAATAAATTTCAACACTAAACGGCATTGTTCTAAAGTGAAAAAATGACATTTCATTAAAATATGCCTCCTAGTTACTATAGATTCATTCAAGGGAAATCTTTGGCATAAGGAAAACATTTTTTTCTAAATGAAGAATGTCTGCTTGACTACATTTTGAAATAAAATAAAGAGGCCGAACTATGGAACTCGTATCTGCATTGAAGTAATACAAAAGTTAAAACTGTAAACGTTTTCAACTTATAATATTTTTCGTGTCAGATTTAATCGTTAATTTTTACATTTATGTTTTTAATGAGTTTTCAGGAACAGAAAATTGCAAATAGAACTACAGAATCTCACCGAATTCTAAAAGCAATGTTGGACTGAAAAATGCAACATAATTTTTTTTTTAATTTCTAATTTTCTGACATTTACATATTATTTTTTTTTTACTTTTTTTTTGTTTTGAATTAAAGCTGCACAACTTTTGGTGATATAGTGTCTAAGTCTATCGGTGGGATCTCGGGCATATAGTTAAGGCTAAGCCACACTAGATAATCTAACACTAGTCCGGTGGGATCAGGTGTAAGTGACTAGAACATACACTACCCGCATATAACCCAAGGACAACCGTTTCTGAGATCTACAGGAAACTTGTACTGGGGCGGAAATACTGGCTGTACACCGACTACTCATGGAACAGCTACTTCTAAGGGGAGGATAGCTAACGGCCGTGGCCATTTCAGGGGAACCATCCCGGCATTCGCCTCACACGCCGAGGGAAACCACGAAAACCCCGGCGAGGATGGCCGGCCCGGGGATCGAACCCGAACCTCCCGATTGCGAAGACAGCGCGCTAGGCTCTTACCACTTCGCTCGGTGAAAGACGCCTTTTCGGTAACAGTGTATAAGTTTCACACTGCCAATGAATTGTCCTTTAATACCGTCATGGTTTGGATGTGGTTAATAACTTATTTTAAAGTATATTGTTAAAATTTGTAATATCCTTATCCATTATTTTAGTTCGGTCTAAAATTGTTATACGTCTTTGTTCTTGTAAATGTAAGGTCTGGCCGATGATGTGTGGATGGACACATTGTAGAGAAAAACTCCATAATGACAACCAAATTAAATAATATTGCAACGTCACTGCGTTCGATTGTCTATAAATCTTTTTAGATACTACCAAAACAAAGTAATACAGTAGTAGCTACATAATTGACAATCAAAGTGTATTTGAATAAAGGTGTATTAAAGGTTTAAGTCAATAATAACATTAAAAATAAAGTAATAATAAAGGGAAACGTAAAATATGTAAAACAAATTGTGATGCTACAAATTTTCTCGCATTATTTTAACGATTCCGCAATATTACACTACTACACGATTCTACAAAAATGTTTCGAAACAGCAATTTTT